TCGCATCCCACATCCGGGAACATGAGGCCGCCATTAAACGTCAGGCTCCAGAAGAAAATTCGAAGGACAGGAGGGAACTGTGGTGAATCCAAGCCCCCAGGGGTGGGCTTCTGGTGGAGGGAGCAGGACAGCGATGAGGTGGGAGGGGCCGGGCAGCGGGCCCTGGAGCACACAGAGCTCGAAGGTGCAGGTGACGAAGGCGGATCTCATTTCCTCTTCATGCTTTTTCTGTATTTTCCAAAGCATCTCCTCCCTGAAAGTCTTGCTTTCACAGTCAGGAAAAAAGAAATACCAGCGAGACTGCCACTGCCACGGAGCAGGTGTGATGTCCCAGGGGAAGTGGTGGATCTGAACACACTTTAAAGTGGGAAAGCCCCCGGGGTCCACCAGGCTGTGTGAACACACTCTGGCTCCCTCCCCCAGCCTCATGGCCCAGAGACTGTAGCCTCCATGGCCCCTCCAGCCCCAGCTCAATAAGGACACAGACCCATTCGTGCACTCCAGCCAGCCCAGAGCATGAAGGCCAAGGCCTCATTCTCCCCAGCCTTTTTGGGGGCAGGAGGGCACTGGCCAGGGTGTCCGAGCCAGCCTGCACCTTGGCTCCAAGCCCAGCTGTGCCTCAGCAGCCCCTGGCCAAGCAACATCCTGGCTGCCAGCCCTGTCCACCCAGAGAGTACCAGGGAGGATTTGCCGGCTCTCAGAGGCCCAGAGACCCAGGTGGGCGGCTGCTGCAGCTCCATGAGATGAGCAGCTCCAGGTGCACACACACTGTCCACCCTGCTGAGACCTTCCCACCTCTGATACCTCAGGCAGTCGGGTCCAGCACTGTGTCCTGCCTACCCGGCAACCTCCTGGTCCCCTTGGTGATTCTCCCCGAGCTGGGCCCCCTCCCCACCAACGAAGTGGAAATCCTGCTGTGTGAGCTTGAGTTAGTGACTGAATGTCTCTGAGCATTGCTGTGCTGCTCTATTGGCACCTTAGCACACAGTTGGCTGGGCTGGGATCCAGGCTGAGTGGGGCACAGTGACAGGTGGGCCCTACTCAGCATCACTGGCTCGGGATCGTGGGTGGGGCTGTGGGGATGGGGCAGCCCAAACCAGCCTCCCCACCTGTGAGCTCACTGAGCCGGCTGGCCACTGTGGGGGTGGCTGGACCAAGTTCTCCTGGCGTTGCAAAGCTCCAGTTCCTCCCAGGTGGAGACATGGCCCCTTCCTCAGAGAACGTGAGCAGGTGGGTAGGGAGCCACACGCAGCCCAGCCATGGGCCCCAGTGGGTAAGGGCTGGGGCGGCTCCCCCTGAGTTCTCCCCCTCAATCCATCTGTGCCCTGGGAGGAAAAAGGAGGCCACTGCTTGGAGCCCCCAAAAGAGAAAGGAGCTGCCACCACCACAGCCCCCACCCCACCTGACCTGTAGGAACTGCCTCTCTCAGGGGCAGCCAGGGGGCTCAGTGACCCAGCAGCCTCCACGAAAGCCCCCGGAGACAGCAGGCACCCCTGGAGAGCCCCCGGCACCAGGCCTGCCTCCACCACCCCAGCTCCTGCCGAGGGGCCCTCTGGAGTTCTCCTTTTGGTGCATACCTCCTGGGGCCGCGGACACTCCTGATGCCCCAGGGCCCCTGCCCCAGCTATGACCCTTCCCATCTGGCATCCATGACCCCAGCAGCATCACAAGGCAGGCCACTTACAGAGCCCCATGGGTGCACTGTCAGGACCAGGGAGGGGCCCAGGGTGTGGCAGGCCAGGTGCTACACCCCAATGCTGCAAGTGCGGCTCGAAGCCCAAGTGCCTGGCACTCCCCCCCCTCCGGCTCCAGCCGGCACCTGGTCAGGGGGCCAGCCCCAGCCCTCCAGCCCCTCCCACATCAGCCTCATCTCCATCACATCAGAAGCAGCTCTTTCGCATTCTCTCCCATCCTCTAGCCTGTGGAATGGGATTAAGTAGCTGTAAATGAAATCCTGTTACCACGGATACATGAGGACTGGGGTGAGCAACCACACTCTGGGGGTGGGGGCTGTCGCATCCCCAGTGCTGTCCCACTGCCCCAGCCCCAGGCCAGGGCCCCACACTGTCCACCCTCCCAGCCCCAGCTGGAAGCTAGGTTCTCTTGCTGGACCTGCTCAGAGGTTCTGCTCCGGGCCGAGGGGCCAAGGCCGAGATGAGAGCCGCGGGGCCACGGGAACACCAGGTCACACTCACTGCCTTGTCTGGAGAAGGGGGCCCCTGCCCTACTGTGGACACAGCAGACGCGGTGGCTGCAAGTCCCAGTGCGGGGGGCATGGAGTGGGTGCCGGGTGATACCACTGGGCTCCAGGTAAGCTGCCCAACCCGAGTCCTGCAGCCTGAGTGGCCAGTACCCCCGAGCAGAGCCCAGGCCCACACCTCCTGGCATGGCTCTGACCCTCACCCCACACACCCAGCTGGGTCAGAGCTGGGCGCCAGAGCAGGCATCAGCCAGGGCAGGGCTGCGGCCCACAGGAGCTGGGACATACTTCAGCCCCAAACAAGGAGCCTCCCAACCGCCAGGGACACAGATCAGGACACACTGACCTGCTTCATAGGCCGTGAGCCTGTCACCTGGGCCTGAGGGCCTCCCCTGCCCTCTGGGCTGGGAAACTTCCCACTGCTCAGTGGGGCTGCCTCAGGGAGCTTCTTGAAGGACCTGCAGGGCCTGACCAGGTGCTCCCACCCCTGCCCTCGGCCTGGCACCCAGCACAGCACCTGGCCTGATGTCAGCAGCAGCAACCCAGGCATGGAGGGGACGGGAAGCACGGGGAGGGGATGGGGGGCACTTGGGGGAGGGGGAGCACGGGATGGGCAGGCAGCAGTCTGAGGGTGGAGCCCCCTTTCCTGGGCACCGTCACCTCTGGATCCAGGCACCTCCCCACACCCAGAACTGCAGGCTCCCCCTGAGGGCCCTACCTGGGGACGGGGCCTCGGGGACTCTGGGCCTGAAGGAGGAGCCTAGCAGCCTCCTTTCCCCTGTTCCAGCCACCCTTTCTCTGGGTGTCCATTCCAGACTGAGCTGAGAAGCAGGGCCGAGCCGGGCAGGGGCCGTGTGCCTCTGAGCAGCCACCTCCCAACAAGGGGAGGAGACCCGCCCGGGCACATCTGGGGAATGTGGGAGGAACAAGCCAGGGCCGGCTCTGCGGGCACACGGAGGGCTGCACAGAGCACAGACACCCACACATGCCCGCACGCCACGCATGCACACGCACAGACCCTCCCAGGTGTGGATTCAGATTTGTGCTGCACACGCGCGCACACACGTGCAAACGCTCACCTCCACCACTGCTCTCCCCTGGGGAACAGCTGTCAAGCCAGCAGCAAGGGCCCCCAGAGGAGCAGGTGATCACGTGCATGAGCACACACATGCACGCACATGCACACACCACATGTACACACACACCTGCACGCGTGTACACACACACCCCACTGAGATGCAGACCTACTGTCACACCCGTGGATCCCCTGGACACATGCATCCTCACCCCCTGCACCCTCCCTTTCTGGTCTCCTCCCCCTCCTCCCAGGAGAGCTGAGTCAGGGTCCTGAGAGTTGCTACGTCTGCCAAGGAGGAGCCAGAGGAACCCTCTGCCCCACACACACACGGGCAGCCAGAGGCAGAGCTGCCGCTCAGCAGAGGGCCCAGCAAACCTGAAACCACGCTTCCTGGGGTCTTCCACCAGCTGGATAGACCCCAGAAGCCCCTTCACATCAGGAGACCCCTGACCTTCTGACCGTGCCCAGGTGCCAGGCCCAACCACACATCTGAGAAGAAAACATTCCTGAGATGCAGGGGTGAGCCTTCCCCCACCAGTCCCTGGGTCCCCTCAGTGCACCACAGGCTGTGAGCTGGCCACCCCCGGGGGTTAACACACCCCCTCTCTAGGTGGGCTGAGCTCTCACCTTATCCCAGAATGTTGACTCCCGAGTCAGGGGCTGGCAGGCCCAGGGCCAGCAGGTGGCAGCTCAGCCCAGGCCTGAGGCCTGAGGCCCAGGGGCAGACACACCATGTTGGCCTCAGCTCAGCCCATCACACTGGGCACTCAGAACAGAAAGCAGCCAAGTGTTCTGAGCTGGAAGAGAGCAAGCCCCCACCTCCTAGACAGCCGGGGCCCAGCCTGCGGGTCATCTCAAGTGGTTCCATGCGGCAGATTCTATCCCACGGAGCACGGAGCAAATCACACAGCAGGAGAGAGCCTGGAGCCGGCATCTCGGGGAGGAGCCTGTGCTGCCGGGGACAGGGGCCTGCTCAGCACCACCCTTCCCTCAGGCCGGGACCCTCACACTTGGCCAGGCTCCCTGCACACCTGTACACCTGTGTGATTCTGAATGCTGGGAGTCGAGACACAGCAAACGAATGTGATAGAAGTCAGAATAGCAGGGACCCCTGGGCGGGCAAGGGGGCAGTCCCACGGAGGGGCAGGCAGGAACATCCCATTTCCCAGTCCAGGTGATCGTTACGTGGCAAGTTCACTTTGTACGGCCTCATCCCGCTGTGCACCTAAGATTGTGTACTTCCCAGGATATATCGTACAGTGCCTTCTTTTTTAAAGTTGAGTGAGAAAGAAAAAAAGCGTGCTCCTAAACCAGTTCAACTCACTTCCAGAAGCCGCAAGTATTGCCACCAATAGGCCACTGGACATCGAGAAGTGGCACCTAGAGGTCCAGACCCAGAGATGACAAGCACCTCTCCAGGATGCACAGCCCAGCAATCACAAGACCCACTGACGATCCCTGAGTCAGCCCAGGGTTCCCATGGGTCTGAGCCAGCTGGACAGAACTGGAGGGGGAGCTGCAGCCCCAAAGCTATCTTCCTAATAAGTCTGTTTGTTCTGCCTCCCCTTGAACTGGGGCAGGCGCACGCCGACCAGCCCACAGCAGAGCCCCTGTTCTGGAGAAGCTGGCAGAGGCCCTTCTCCCAGGTGGGACCAGGGCATCACACTCGACGGGGAAATGAACCCAGAACCACATGGCTGTCTGCCCGGAGGCCTCACTCACCCACAGGCAGAATGTTGATGCTCAGGAAAGGTGGTCCACTCTCCAGGTCAGGCCCTGGGTCCTCGGGCGAGGGAGCCATCAGGGAGGGATCGAAGGCTCTCGGCGGTGGCAGCAGCAGGTAAGAGGTGGGACCAGCCTAGACTACCAGCTGAGGCTGGCCTTCCGAGGGAGGCAGAAAAAGGCTCCTCCGAGGTCCAACTGTCCCCTGGGCCCCCAGCGTGCCCTGCTAGGATGGAGTCCGCCACTCATCACACACCTGGAGGAAACAGGGGCAGCAGGGGTGTGGGTGAGGCCCGTCCAGCCACCCGGGTCAATATGAGGTGGGAGGGCAGGAGGATGCTGCACTGCAGCCCAGCTCCACCACCCCAGAAATAAGCATCCCACTGAGGTGGGTGCAGGGGGAGCCGTGTGCAAGGGGTGGGGAGGGACGGAGACCCGTGGCCCCCCGCCCAGGACACAGAGGCTTTGGGTGAGCACCAGGGAAAGCCAGAGGGTGCCATAGTAGTGGCTTTGTCACCGAAGTGCTGATTGTTTCTCTATGCTGGGACTTTTTCCATAGCTTGATGAAGTTCAAAGGAACCGTCTTAAGAAACTGCTAGCCCCTTCTGCTGTGATGGTGCTGGAGGCACCCGCCAGCCCTGGGCTACACTGCCCCAGGGGCCACAGGAGGAGCCTATGGCACAGTGGGTGACCCTCAGCCCTTTCTCCAGCCCTCAGGTCCCACTGTGCTGTCACTCCCAGGTCCGCGGTCTCGGGCCCTCCAACCACCACTTGGTTTGTGCAGTGAATCGAGGCCACTTTGGCCTCCCAGGCTGCCGTCTGCCCCTTGGCCACTTGGCTGGGCTCCAAGCCCCTCACTCTCCCCACCCCCCAAGAGGGCCCCAGGCTCCACCCGGCCTCCTTGTGGCCCCACCGGAGGCTCAGTCCCAGCCTGGCCTCTGCTCAGGCTCCTCTCCTGCTTGGAACCCTCCTCTCCACCTCCTTGTATCCATCCAACTCCTCCTTGCTCCCCCAGGCCAGCTCCTTCCAGAGACTTCCTTGGTACTGGCTCCCTCCTCTGAGCCTCCTTCCTGGGGGCCACAGAGAGACTGCAGAGGCCGGGGTGGGAGGCTTTAGCTGCTGGGCTCTGGAGCCCTCTGACATGCCCAAGACAGAGCTCAAGACAGAGCTCCCAGGGCCTGGGCCTCGATGGACACTGGGCCACGGGCACACCCTGAGCCGGCTCTGCCCAGGTAGGAAGAATGCACGGCCAGGGGTGGGAAGGCTCAGGCTCCTGGTGGCACCTCCTCTCCCAAGGGCTCCTTGGAGTAGCCCCACCTCACATCTCTCCTCAAGCCCAGGCCTTTCTGGCTCCCTCCAGTCCCCAGGAAGGAGGGCCCCTAGGTGGTCCGTCCCTCCCTCACTCTGATACCCTTCAGCCCCCGGGCCCTCCACCTGGCCCATCCACTCCAAGATCAGTAGCAGGCCTGGAATTGTCTAGCCAGGGGTTCTCCAGGGTCCTGTACCTCAGAAGAGCGTAGGTGGTGGATGCTAGGCAGCCCAAAGGCTCAGGACCCGTGGCTCACCCTCCAGCCCAGAGGCCTCGCCCGCCCCAGCCTGGTTGTGCCCACCCCAGCCCTTCACAGGCCCAGCCTCCTCTCCTGGACTCCCCTCACGGGCTGCCCTGGCTCCAGGCTCACCCGCAGGTGTGGGGTCTCCTGGCCCAGGCTCCCCCGAGGTAGCTGGACTGCCACAGCCCCTCAGCCACACAGCCCGCGTGGCCACTGCCGGCTGCAGCCGCCGTCCCGGCCCACTACTGCCGGGTTCCTGGGCAGGCACCGTGCTTCCTGCCACGGTTGGAGCCCAGGAGCCATGTCCAGACACGTCTGCTGAGCGCCAGCCGGGCGTGGGGTTCGGGCTGGGCTGGCATAGTCGAACCTAATTAGGCAACAGCCCGGCGCTGCAAGCCAAGGCGAGGCCACGGGGGACCATGAGGTCAGCCGCTGGCGTGGGCCCGGCTGCGCCGTGCCAGGCGAGCTGAGTCCCCTCACAGCACGGGTGCCCAGGATCCCCTCAAACCATGCCGGGCCCTCACGGTACCCCTCACTTCCACCCATGCTGGGCCCCTACAGCTTTCGGGGCCGCAGGGAGCAGACGGGGGGCCTGGGTCGGGAGGGGTGGATGGGAGGTGCCATAGCTGATCGTGCTGTGGAGCCGACCCCAGCTAGGCCTGCTCCTCCTCGCACTGGCCGACCCCTAGAAGCCCCGGCCCCAGTGAAGGAGGGGCACCTCCCATCGCAGGCCTCCAGCCTCTGCTCAGACCCTGGCCCAGACGCCAAAGTCAGGTCCTGGGAATCACGAGTGGAACAGGTGACCACTCATAGCGGGCATCATTCAGGGTCAGGCTGAGCCGGGTGGATAGGGACAAGGGGAGAGGCCCCTTTGACCCCTGCCCCCCAGCAGCCAGCCCTGTTTGATCAAAATGTGCGGCCCAGGCTCAGACAGGTCAAAGGGCGGCCCAGCCTCAAGCCCACGTTCTCAGAGTGCGCTGTCCACACCCAGACTGGCAGACCTGCCTCCATGAAATGGCCAACCTGCACGCCCTCGAAGCCCCTGGAGGATGAAGCGGCTGCCATTTAGCAGGCTCTCCCCAATCCACAGCACCCGCCCGGCCTGGCTGTTCTTGCCCTTGGGGAGGGCCCGGGTGTACCCTCAGGGGCTGGATTCCTACCCCGGAGGACTTGCTAGCAGCTTCCATTCTGATGCTTGTGGTGTCCCCTCAACGTGTCCCACAGAGCGGCTGGCTGGCAGCAGGAGTGCCAGAGGGGCCCACCGCAAGCCCCAGCCTGCTCCCGGACATCCTCTCCCTCCTGCCTCCCACCTTCTGCGTCAGCGCCCAGGAAGGGAGCCGCCACGCCCTCCACTGGCATCCCTCACTCGGGAAGACCCCGGGGGATGGGCAGAGGCGGAAGCCCCAGCCTCTGGAAGAGGGGATGTTGAGGTGGGGCGTCCTCTCCCACCCAGACCCCACCGGCCACCCAGACCACAGACGTCTTACTCTCTTAAGGGAGAAACTAAGGCCCAGAGAGGGTAGGACTCCCCCACCAACCCAGCTGGTGTGGCTGCTCTGAGAGCTGGCCTGTTCTCCCTTAATGCTTGACTCTTTCTACACCCACTGCCCAGTTTCCACCTGGTGTCCACCCCAGGCTGGACACCTGGCCCGAGGCCCCCAAGGGCTGACTACAGTACAATCCTCAGGAATCGAGAGGACTGCCTGCCTGCCCCCGACCCCCTCCTCATCCGGGGCCCAGCAGCCAGGGTCCCCCATCCCAGCCCCACCCACCTACTAATGCTGCCTGAGGAGTCTCCACTCCAGGGGGGCCCCTCACTGCCCAGCGCCTCCCACACAGATCCTGCCTATTCCTTCATCCCTGCCACGCTCAAGCACTGTCTCTGTGCTGGGAGTGGGGTCCAAGGTGGGGAAATCCTGGTGGTGGGGAGGCAGGTCATAGCAGGCCGGTGGCCAGCGAGTCTGGAGCTGGACCCTCTACCAGGAGACACCAGCTGCCCACAGCCCCCTGCCCCCGACCTGGACCTAGTGGATGAGAAAGCAGAGCGAAGGCTGGTGCTGGGCAAGCTCGGCTGCCACCCCCAAGCCGGTCGAGCCAGCTGGAGCCCAGCGCAGAGCCTCAGCGCGAGGGCCGGCCTGTCTGCACGTGATGGCAACAGACTCAGCAGCCCTGACCCCGAGGCGGAGGAGTGATTGGGCCATGCGGCCGCGTCTGGGGCCAGGGGCTGGCTTCACAGAGCAGAACCAACATTCTGTCGAGGCTCAAGTCCTGGATGAGAGTGGAGGTCACCCAGCCAGGGTACGTATGTGTAGCCTGGGGCTCAGCCGCTCTGCTCTGAAGTGAAAGCCCTCCAGGCTCCCAAGGGGCCGGGGGAAGATGTTCTGGGCAGCCCTGTCGGGTGGGGTGCTGGAGACCCCCGGGGGGGTAGGTGCAACGTGGAACAACACACGCAAGGAGAGAGAGAGTCTCCTGTGGGAAAGAGACGCATCTGAGAGCATAGCGCCGAGTGAGGAAAGCAAAGATCAGAATGAGGCACACAACCGACACCACGTTACCATGTGCTGCTTCCCAAGGGGTGGCCTGTGGAACCCCGGGGCGCCCCAGAACCTGCCAGGGGCCCTAGGGTCTAAACTATCTTCATAATAATACCCTTTCTCCCTGTACCAACATCTGCACAACAGGTAAAACGCAGCAGAGACGAAAGCAGTGGCTCCAAACAGCTCTGGGTCATTTTATCGTGCTCTATGTCACCACACACTCCGAATTCAATGAAGAAAAAGCCGTTTCCCTGAGAATGTCCCCAGCAAAGCAGTAAAGATGATGAATTTTATTAAACCCCAACTCCGGGTTCACATCCTTCTAATATTCTGGGCAAGGACACAGGAAGCACACAGTGAGCGCAGCCGCACAGGCTGGTCTCCCAAGGGGAGGCGCTCCAGCGACACAGCCGTCGGCTCAACTAGCCACATCCAGGTGGAACACGTCTGTGCTGCAAAGAACAACAGGCAGACACACCACAGTCACGCCGGCACGCGTTTGCATAACATGTGGCAGCGGTTTCCTCAAAAACAAATACAGTAAGACCGCCACTTAAAAATCAAAGCGACAGGATCTGTTGCCTATGATAAAATTCAAGCTTAAGTGGAAATTAGCATTTTGGAGAACTTGTATCCATTGCCGTGAGTCTGGCGGCTTCCAAACACGCAAAGGCTTTTTCTCAGGAGAGCAGCGGTGATGCTAACGTGTATAGTGAAACGTGTCGACGTTTGGAAAATCTGCCTAACTCAGCAAACCAGTGTTTTCCAGATGACCAAAGAGGATATTCGAAATCACGCCCAGGGAAAGAGCCGTTCAAAGCGGGAAACAGACCAATGGGTGTATCAGAATCTCAATGGCCATTGATACAGCTTCGGCTTTCACAGTGTGACGGCCTCTAAGAAGCTGTCATCTGTTCGGTTTTGGTGAGGCCTCAAAGAAGAATTCACAGTTATCTGAAGAGGCAGGTTTCTTCATATATTTCACTCACAACAACACACTGTGACAGATGGAATGCAGAGGCAGACAGGAGAATCCAGCTGTCCTCCACAAGCCAGACGGCACAGAGACTCACAACAATGTAACACAATGTCACGCTTCTCACTGAATTTGTTTTGAAAAAGTTATTGTTCATAAAATGTTATTTGATTTAACATGTAATTATTTGTTATTTTTAGTAAGACTGTATCAATAAATACTTTTAAATGATCAGTTTTCATTTCTAATATGAATATCAAATGATAAGCAAGTGTGTGCTAGTTAAGATTTCCTAAGCACCTAATGGGTGGTGTGTGCCCGCGTCCACAGTATAGACACGCCCACCGTGGCCAGCTTCACCTATGAAGGTGAGATTACAGAGCACGGAGTCCGGAAGACAGCGACAGCAGCATATCATCCTCTGGGATTTCCACCAGACACATAGTGTTTGTTGCCTTGTTTTTTATGTAACTTATGTGCTTTACATAATTTAAGTAGTTTAATTGGATTTTAATAATGGCTATGTTTAACAACAGCTCACAGAATTACTGGAGATCTCACAGCCAGCTCTCATGAGCTGGTCTGAGTGGCTCTGGCACCACTGGACAGAACGCTCATGAAAAAAGTTCTTTGGGGTCCCCGACAATCGTTTGGAATGGAAAGGGGTCCAGAGACCAAAACGCTTGCACACCGCTATTATTAAAAATAATCGTACCCAGGGCCAGCCTCATGGCCGAGTGGCTAAGTTAGCACTCCGCTTCAGCAGCCCAGGTTTTCGCTGGTTCGGATCCTGGACACCGACCCAGCACTGCCCATCAGGCCACGCTGAGGCAGCGTCTCACAAAGCTCTACTAGACGGACCTACAGCTAGAATATACAACTATGTACTGGGGGGCTTTGGGGAGAAAAAGAAAAGAAAAAAGAAGAATATTGGCAACAGATGTTAGGTCAGGGCCAATCTTAAAAATAATCGCAACAACACCATACCTTCTGAAAAATACCAAAAACAGAAGATGCACATGGAACACGCATGAGAGTGCGTCCCAAGGGGACATGCGGCAAGCAGCAACGCATGAGCCAGTGTGCTCATCGATGGAGACGCGGTCCCGCAGCCCTCTGTGCCCCAGGCCTGCAGGAGAGATGAAAGGAAGTGGGGGTCTCTGGGTCAGAACGCAGTTTGCAGCCTGCCTCTGTGTAGCGGAGAAACTCTCTGTCTGAGCTTGGTTTCCTCGTGTGGGAAGCGGGGTGCAAAGAGTGCCCCCTCCCCCACAGGAGATCGCAGGCACAGTATCCACAGTATGGTGGGCAGGCCAGGCTCCTCCGCGTCTGCGTGCTCTGGGCCCCCCACCCCCAGGGGCTCTTTCTCCACACTTGTGCCCAGAACACACCCCATGGGAGCCAGGCTGTAATAACTGGCTTCCACCCCACAAATGGAGATATGGGCCCCAGGAAGCCCCCACCTTTCGCTGGCAGATCTGGGTCCTTGTGCCCCTGCCTGAACCCCATCCTCTCAACCGAGATGCTCTCTGGGGCCCAACTGGCAGCTCTGTGCTCCGCCTCCCCCACGAGGTGGAAACTGAAGTAAGTCTGGCAAGCTTTGTCTCCACGTCACAGTGCAGAGCTGGGCAGGGGCGGGGGTGGGAGGAGATTACGATCAATCAAATGCGCCAGGAGCCGAGGACAGACAGCAGAGACCCTGCCTGGGATGCCTCCATCGGACATCAGCTCCCAACACCCCCGAATGGAATCCTCAGTCTTTGGGGAAGAGGCAGAGGTCGGCTGGGAATGAGAGGTAAGTCGAAGCTTGGAGTAGGGGGTTGGGAGGAGGGAGGCACAGGGTGCGTCCTGTGTCCTCAACCCAGCACTCACTGAGCTCCTGACCAATGACCAAAGACCCACAGGCGGCCAGGTGGGGTCCCTGCACTGACCCCCTACCCTGTAGGAACACCCAGGCTAGTAGGGAGTCAGGCCCAGATGCCACAAAGCTCCACTGTGGGGCTCAGAGGAGAGTAGGGGGCCTGGCTGAGCTTGGGCTTCGGCTGTGAGCAGGAGCCCTCTGCTGGAGGGGGCACTTCAGGCAGCAGGGCAATGTGTGCAAAGGCCCTGTGGCAGGAAAGGCCCATCTGGTCCCTAGGGCTGGCTCAGCCCCACTCAAGCTTCCAGAGACAGAAGCCCCCGTCCTCCTCTAAAGAGTAACACAGAGGAGCCCAGGGAAAGCATTTCTCGGCATTTCTCAGCTGACTGTCACCTCCGTGGCCAGGGGCACCTGTCCCTGATCCTCATTCACTGTCCTCGTGCCCCCAGAGGAGACCAGCTGTGGCACCCCACACCCCGCTGTCGGGTGGGCACTCAGCCAACAACAAATCATAGTCCCATCTCTCTCTGCCAGCAACTGGGGCTGTGGATGTGTGCCATCCAAGGCCTGCCGACCTCGAGCCTGCGTCCATGGCTCTCGTCCACTGAGGCTGCACCCACTCGCCCCTCCGTTTTCTTCTGGATGTTGATCGTCTCTTCACATGCAGCAAGAAACTCAACGACAGGCAAACAGGATGCCCAGGACCAGTGAGACCCCGGGCAGGCAGCTGGCCGAGCGGGGCGGGAAGTGGGCGGGCCGGGGCCCCTGAGGAAGGTGAGGCTGGCCAAGGACCACAGGCCTGGGGGCCGGCCGTGGGGGGTGCTGTGACCCCAACAAGAGCAGTTCCCAGGGGTTTGAGAGAGCAGAGGAGAGGATGTGGAGAGAGCACGCGTGGCTCATCGTTCGAGAAGTTCTGAGGTCCCTGGCAGGAGCAGCGAGAGGGGACAAGTGAGAGGGAGGACTTTGGAGCCACCGATGAGGCATGGGGAGCACTGAAGGGCCGAGGATCACACACAGTGACCTTGAACAGTGAGGACCCCAGCATAACACACAGCCTTGGGGTCCGGGGGGTGGGCGAGGGAGCTCGTCTGACTGTGAAGTGGGAGCGTGGGGAACAGGGGCCAGCGGGGAGCGTCCAGGGCTATTTGGCTATGACCCCAGTGAGGCCGTGCAGGCCTAGGGTGGGCAGAGTGGGAATGACTGGGAGTTGAGGGGTCCTCAGGCCAGGAGAGGGGCCGCCAGGTTGCGGCCATGTGCACAGGGGCAGCTGTCCTAAACAGAGACCGCAGGACGCCACTCACTGCTTTTGAACAGACAGGAACAGGCTCTGGGCAGGGAAATGCCCCACCCGAGGCCCCGGGGCGGCCTTGGCATCTGTCTCCCTGCCCTGTGCCCTGTGCGCTCCCGCCGGGTGCCCACGTCATCAAGGCCCTGGGAGTAGCCTCGGCTGGCCCTCAGAGGGCTTCCTGCACTGCCCACCAGGCTTCCAGGAGACAGGGCCAGAGGTCACACCCAGGCCCACCCTGCCTTCATGGGTGAGCGCCCCTGCCCTGCCCTGGTAGCCCCGGGCAGGTGCCCAGAACCGAGTAGGGCTGGAGGAATCGTGCGCGTGCCCACCCCTGTGGATCAGCTGCGGGACACGGCTGTGCTGTCCAGGAGGCACGGCCCCCAGTCTCTGTCCCCAGGGCCAGACGGCACGGGAGGGCACCTGCGGCGCCGTCTCCAGCAGGGACTGTAAGAGGAGATGGCTTCTAAAGTCCTTCCCCTCCAAGTTCCTCCTTCACCTGAGGCCTCCCAGGCCTCCTCCTCGGAAGGTCCAAGCTGCTGCTCAGTCCACCTGCCGGGCCAGAGAGCAGGGCTCACCAGATTCCCAGGGGGTCGCAGAGTGGGCGGCCAGGAGCCCGTTCGCGCCCCTTCTGGGGCCAGGGCCTCATGCTCTCCGACTGTGGGACCCCCAGGCCTGGGAGGGGGTGGGAGGGGGCCCTGGGGTGCGAGGGCAGCACGGGTGGAGAGGAGATTCCAAGGAACCTGCTGGCCTCCACCCGGGAGCAGCTGCCCGTGGTCCCCGCCCACCCTCAGCACCGAGACGGAGGCCACTCCTTCCTCCCTCTGTTTGTTCAAGAACATTTCTGTGCCCTCCTGGCACGGGGGACACAGCAGGACCCATCATAAGTGCCACACTGTGTGGCTCACGTTCAAGGGAGCAGACAGAAGACCCCCCCCCCTGGTGACCATGAACGCTGTCAGCAGGACGGGCCTGTGAGGACACTGCAAGCAGGGCGGGAACTCGGGTGATATTCAACTGGGTCCTTAGGGCAGTCCTGGAGAGACGGTGTGGAGGCGTCCCCATGCGTGCCAGGTTCAGACCCAGGACTTCATCCTCCAGGTGCTGGGGAGCCCACGAAGGTGCTGGAGCAGAAGACTGGGAGCAGGGAGTGAAGGGCTCGGTACCATCAGGAGGCGGTGGGGCAGGCCTGTGCTGACCCGTGAGGACGGACATCTCCACACGTGCCCAAGTCAAACCTGCCGCCCGCACAACGGGGGAAGACCGGAGGCACCTCACAGGCCCCCTGAGCGCTGGCCTTGGGCGGCACCTTTGGGCAGGTCACCCATCTCTCAGTTCACCAAGGAGCATGTAGTGGGACGGGAAGCTCCTGACTGCCGGCCTCCCACTTCTCTGCCCCAGCTGATCACTGCTCCGGGAGGAGCCCCGAGGCACACTCGGTCTGGGGGAGCCCCCGCCTGCGCACATGCAGCCCCAGGCTGCAGTCGCCTCCCGACTCTCATGCTAAGACAAGGACGGCCAGGGCCTGCGGCAGCGTCGCAGCCTCAACCTGAGACTAAAGGACCCGGTCTCCTCCCTCCGGCTCATGGCACGTGCGCCCTGGGGCGGCCAGAGGAGCTGCCGCCCTTGGCCGCTACCAGTCTCTGAGAATCAGGACAAGTTCACAAAACGCGGATTCAGAAGCGAACCGGTGCGGAGGCTGAAGCAGAGCAGCATGGAGCCCGGCCCGGACAGGCGCTCGCGGATCCCAGGGGCACTGCCGCCAGCCCTGCCAGCCACACGCATTCCTGCTGCTGACAGCCGCTCCGACTTCGAGGTTCCTCACTCACCCCCCAGGTCCCCCGGGGACTGGCTGCAGCGGGCGCTGGGAGCAGACGAGAGACGCCATCCAGACCCGGCCCCCGGTCTTGTCACCGGAGTCCACGAAGAAACGCTTCAGCTGCTAAGGCGCTTGATGCCCCTGCGGTCTGAGGCCTTCGCCACCCCAGCAAATCCTGAACGCGCTCAACATCCCAAGGGCCCACCTGGAGGGGGAGCCACGGCGAGCCCTGGGCTGGCCAGGAGGACACCCCCAGGCCCCACACCTGCCAGCACTGCACACATAGGTCCTGAGGCCTCTTACAGCCCAGGGAGGTGAGTACCGCTATCCTGCCATTTGGCAGATGAGGAAACTGAGGCCCGTGGGCGGCAAGGACCTGCCCCAGGGCACACCTGCCGCAGAGAGGCAGCAGCCCTGGCCCCCATTAGGAGGTTGCTGTGACGAGGAGAGTGGCACTGTGGGAAGGCATCTCCAGGGAACCTCCAGAACACCCCCTCCCAGGCCAGCCACGCTCCCCACAGCCCCATCCAAACACCGGCACCAGACACACGCTGCTCCACTGGGCAGGAGTGAGGGAGCATGTGGACAGCCCGTGCTGGCCACGCTCGCTGCCCCTGCCCAGCGGTGGCCCTGCTCAGGTCTCCCTCTCAGGCCCTCCCTGGCCTTGCCTGGTGCCCACAGGTCCTCACTCTTCTGGGACCCCCCCACCCTACAGGGGCCCCAGACTTGTCCACCCTCTCTCCCTCCCTCCAGACCCACAGGAGGCTGGAAGGATAGCCCCTCATCCTAGCCTCTTGGCTGGATGGAGCCCTCCCTCTCCTTCTCCAGTGCAAAGCACCCTCCTCCAGGAAGCCCTCCTAGATTACCTCTTTCTTAGGCCCTTAGTGTCCAGCCCTTAGTTACCAACCAGCTCAGCCCAGGATGATGGCCCCACCCAGATGGGGAGCCCTCCCCCACCCCCAGCAGTGGACAAAGCCATTAGGGTACAGAAGTGAAACCAGATACACCTGGGATTTGCCCTGTGCCTGCTTTGGACCAGGCACAGCCTCTGTGAGCTTTGATTTCTTAGCTCTGCCACATGCACAGTGTTTCCCTCCTCAGCCCCCAGGCTCCCTTGAGGCCCTCACAGAGCCCCAGAGCTGGCTCTGCTCCTGGCAGACACACCATTCTGCCAGGAATCGGCCTCCCTATCTCCGGCCAGCACAGGGCACACTGGCCCTGGCCACGGACAGAACCCCTGGCCACCTGCCCGTGCCCTGAAGTCGCCCGACATCACTTCCCAGACCGGCCCAAGCCCCAGGTCCAGGCCCTGCACTCAACCCCTTGTCCTGACCCCTAACGAGCCCCTGATGGGCAGCGGGTAGAGGCTGCCACCGGCCTTCCCACCCTTGGCTCTGGGCCTCTGCCCATGGGGCTGGCGGGAGTCCAAGCACAGCGCAGCCTCAGCTCTCTTCTGGGGGCGCCATCTGGGGCCCCCACCTGCCTGCGCTAGGGTTCACCTTCCCTCCCTGGCTGCCCACCCCGCACCCACTCATACCTCCAGGGCCCGGGGCCGCCATTGAGTGGATGCAGTGAGGTGCGCTCTGGGCCTCCGAGCCGCCGGCAGCTGGTGGGAAAACCTGTTCTCCAGGTTTGTTGCCAGTGAGGCCACACCCTAACGGTCCTGCCCCTTTGCCCCGTGCTGGGAGTTGCAGGGAAAGGGAGAAAGAGGCCACTCTGGCCCATGCCTGGGGCCAGACCTGCAGCGCATGGCTCACTCCCTCCCCAGAACAGGAGCCACTCCCCACAAAAGGCAGCAGCGCTCACCTCTGCTCCATACCTCCGGGGCACCTGCCCAGTCAGAGCCCCAGGCCCAGCACCCAGGAGTGTGGCATCCGGACACACAGCCTTCTCCAGCGCCCCTGCATTCCCCAGTCTCCTGCGTCCCCCAGCCCCTCGCCCCCAGGCTGGCATCTTGGCCTCACCGGCCCCTCTGCCATCCCTGGACCATGAGAAGCACCCTACTCCTTACACGATGGGACAGGTGCCCAGGGGATCCAGCGAAGGCGCTGCCTGGGAGCACCACACTCCAGTCCCAAGGCAGGGGGCACCCCACCCAGTGTCCAGCTGGCCGGGGAGGGGTCGCACAGTGACACCACCTCAGTTAAAATCAGGGGCTGGCAAGCTGACCCTGCTTGCTTTTCCCTCTCTCCTTCTCCAGACACCATCTTCCCAAGCGCATTCACGTGCCAGCAGCCACTCAAGCAGGAAGGCCGTGCCAGGGGAAGCCGGCCTCCCAGCAGAGGGACACAGACAAGCTGGCCAGCTGACCACTGGTTCACCCACTAGGCTGCTGGGTGGAGCTGGGTGGAAGGTGGGTGACCAGACGGGAGAGCGAAGTGTGCAGCAGGGCCACCGGCTGCTGGAACCGGGTTCAATGAAGGGCCAGAGCAAGTGTCCCAGAGGAGGAGGGACGTCAGACAGGACAATCCAACACACGAGGTTGTGAGAAAGTGAACAAATGCAGTGGGGTGAGTGCTGAGAGCCCGGCTCCTACTCACGGGGTGGTCTGTGCACCAGCGTAGGCATCGACCCAGAGCTGGTGAGAAACGCAGAATTCCACCCTGCCCCAGACCCACCCACCCACACCTGCATTCTGACAAGATCCAGGTGATGTGTGCACTGGCGCAGCAGGTTCCTGATAAATATCGGCTAATCACATCAGCATCTCCCATTCCATAGACAAGAAAACCGAGGCCCAGGGATGGGGATGGAATGCACGTGACGAAGGACCAGCTGAGGTCACAGCGGGTGAAGTCAGAGGCCAGCCCAGAAATGTTCCTCGTCAGCGTCGAAATGGCTCAGCCTCACCCATTTACAAATGGGGCAATTCCTTGCTGCAGGCCCAGGGGGTGGACATCAGGGCCCCACACTTGGTCTGGACCCTGGTCAGCCACCTCTGCCAGCGTGGGGGGCCACCTTCCCCGAAGTCCACACAGCTCTTCACCTCCTGCCAGAGGAGCCAGAGTTCGTCAGAAGACACGCAGCCACAGACACTGCCATCCGGGGCGCAAGGGAAGGGCGGCCAAAGGGAGGTGAGGGGGGACAAGGGACAGATGCCCCCTCCTCTGACCAGAGCCCTCATCCTGGCCCCACCCCAGAATCAGAACCGAGAAGATGGCAGCACACGTTGCCGGCTGCTTGACGGCCGCGGGGACAGGCAGAGATGATTGACAGGCAAGGACTTCCCTCTGAAACCCAAGGTCAGCCACACCCCTCCTCTCGGCCTGTCCCTCTCTCTACACTGATGCCCCGGAGGCGGTCAGTCTGCTCATCTTTGGTTCTGATCCAGGTTTGCAATTTGGGGTGAAACTCACTGCCTAATCCCCTGAAATTCTACCGCTAACCTGGTAGAACAGATGGGCCGGCGGCGCCACCTGCTGGACACTCTGGGGTCTGACCCCAAACTGAGTCTTCTTAGTAGGGGCCCTGGGGCCTGCAGCAATCCCAAACAACTCCCCCGACCGCCCAGGTGAGGAAGCTGAGGCAATCTGGACCCGAGTGGACCCCAGGCCCCACAGCCAGAGAACAACAGACAGGTGGTTACATTGTGTCTGGCCTTGCCCTGCCCAGGCGTGGGCTGCGCAGGTGAGGAAACAGGCCAGCAGGTGCAGCACCCCGCAGGGCCCAGCAAGTGAAGGATGTGCCCGGGCAGGCCCCAACCCTTGGGCTGAAGGAAGGAGCCAGGCAGTGACCCTGAGGAAGGGAACAAAACCTCCCTGAATCTGACTTGGCGCCTGGGGACACTGCATCTGTCTGTGCAAACCCACAGAACAGGGCATCTTTGGGGCCAGGAAGGAGCTGTGCGTTGGTTTCAGACGGTTAGATGAGAGTGGGACAGAAACTTGTGAAGGCCTCAGCGTCTCACACAGCCCACGCACAGGCCCTCACCAAAGGGTCCATCCACCCTGGGCTGACAACCGAAGCTGTGGGTGGCCTCTGCGTCCAGGAAACAGGGTACCCGGGCAGGGGCATGGCTCCAAAGGGCACGGGGGCTTCAATAGCAGGAGGGAGTGTGGGACCACCAGGTCATGCCCCTTCCCTCTAAGAGGTGCCTGCCTGCAGCTGGTGGGGCCCCCGATGAGCTCCAAGCCAGTCCCCACAGCCTGGCCACTGCCTGGCCCAGTGTCACTGGGCTGTGCCAGCCTGGGGATGTTCCCACAGCTGAGCCCTGGAGATGGGAGCAGAGGTGAGGCCAACAGCTGAGCCTGTCTGGCCCCATGCCTTCCTGGCCGATGGCAGTGTACCTGACAGCTTGTCCCCATGACCACTCACCACCAAGCAGCCAAATCAGCTTTCAGATCCAGAAATTCGTCTTGTCTTCCCCGTCCTCCATACCCGTCCCGACTCCCCACTGCCCTCCCACATGCTAGGTCCTTTCCCTTCCGGGACCCAAAGGCCGGGTCCACGTTCACACACACACCCCAGCACCCAGGCAGGCTGTCAACACCCAAGCCCGGGATGGGCTTTCAAGCAGGATTACTGAGGCACGCCGAAGCTCCCTGTGGCTGCAGGGCCGGGGTCTCGCCTCGCTCAGCACTCTGACGCAGACACCCATCAGCGCCCAGGGAACGGTCAAGCAAAGCTGGAGGGTCCCTGCAGCTCGTAAGAGCGCAGCGGGCAGACCACCCCCCGGGCCGCGGACCTTCTGGGGTCTAGGCTCGCCGGTACTGCGTGATGCTGGCGGGCAGCCGGACCTCTGACCTCAGTCTCCCCGTCCGCAGAGTGGGCCGGGGACGTGAGACCACAGCTGCCAAGGGACTGAGCTCGCGCAGCCCGCTCCGGACCGCGGATCGCAGAGCGCGGACAGCGAGGAGGTGGCCCCGCAAGCCACGCCCCGCCCCCGCCCGCAGGCCCCGCCCCCGCCCGCAGGCCCCGCCCCCGCCCGCAGGCCCCGCCCCCCCGCGTGGGGCCCCGTCAGTCCCGCCCCGACGCCGCTCAGGCCCCGCCCCACCCCACCCAGACCCCGCCCCGCGCGCTGTGACGCTCAAGGTCTGCGCCGCACTCCGACCGGGCTCCGTCATCAAGCGCCGCCCGCGTGGCTGTGGCCGCCATGGCCGCTGTGGCTGTCGCGGCCGCCAGTCCCCCGGCGGTGGTTCGCGCGGCTCAGAAGGACGACTACTACCGCGGCGGGCTGCGGAGCGCGGCGGGCGGCGCCCTGCACAGCCTTGCGGGTGAGGGCGGGCGGGCCGGTGGACGGGGCGGGAGTGGGCCCGAGCGGGCGCCGCAGCTCCCCGCGGGTGAGCAGCCAAGTCCGCCAGCGTCCGAGAGCGCTGCGGGCCCTGAGTGACCGCGCGGCGCGGAGGGTGTCGCCCGTGGCCCTGCGCCCCGCGAGGTGGGGGGACGAGACCGCAGCCCCCGGGGCGGGCTCAGCCGAAGGGAGAAGCCGCTGGGTCGGGGTGGGGTGAGGCCCAGGTGTTGGAGGAGGCGCTCACAACAGATGGTTTATGAACGTATACAGACGCTGTCAATTACTCTGCCGCGCACCGTTCTCCGTGCTTTACAAACAGTAACCCACTTAATCCTGAAAACGTTCCTAGGAGGTAGGACCTGTTGTTACTCCCCTTCTTACAGATGGAAGATTGGGATTCCAGACAGGTCAGGTGACTCGCCTGAGGTCACAGCCAGCAAAGTGGGGAGCTGGAGTTTGACGCTGGACGGTGGTGTCAGCTGTGCTCTTAGTCACTTTACTACACCGTCTGTC